TGATAGGAAGGGATGAAAGAGTCCAAGACTCACCTAGAAGTGTGAAAAGAAAGGGTCCCCCCCTTTCAGGACAGCACCTGGGATGTATCCTTATAGTTATCATGGAGCATCATATACAGAGCATGCAATAAAAATTTGTGGCCTAGAGAGAAGTTACTTAACTTAAGTGAAGTCATTTTTACCCTAGGTCTTTTTGTTCTGAGCTCTGTCAGTCACGGCTTCTCTGCAGGAATGTGGTGTTGATAGTGACCACTAATCTTTAGTTGATAATTAACTGGAGCTCAGCCCCTTTGGAGGCTACATCTCATGTTTGCTGTCCTTGGCAGTCATACCTCCCTTTCTTTCCCACACACAGAGAGGTCTGGTTTTATCTTGGGGCAGTTCGTTAGAAGAGAATACATGTACTTTATATGGCTCTTGCTTTCTACTGCAGGATCTACACCCCTTTCAGTGAGGATACCCCATCTGTGGGCCAGCGTCTTTTGAACTCGGTGTTGAACACTATCATAATGATCAGCGTCATCGTTGTAATGACCGTCTTCCTAGTTGTGCTCTATAAATATCGCTGCTACAAGGTAGAGTCTTCATGCCAGAGCCTCTTCAAACTGTATGCTCTGAACTTGAGTTCAAGCTGGGCTTGTGGGTCAGTGAGAAATACAGGCACCGCACCGGCTAGTCCACAGCTTAGTCACAGCAAGAATCATACTGGGGAGAAGCCTTTGTCAGCGGTGGTATAGCTGTGCCTCTGAATATGCCTTGCTGTTACCCTGGCACTAATGGTAGGCTCTTAAAAAAGAGGCCTGCTACTTAGTGTTAGTCAAGTCTGTGTCTTCTCTATCTGATTAAAAAGTTTTGTGGTTTGTATTCATGGATTAAGTTGTACCATTTACTGTGAATACCTTCTCCTAAGAAGTTTCAGACAAGCTTTGTGGGAACTGGTGTTCTTCCTGCCTGTGGAGGCTCTGGTGGAAGGTTTTGCGGTGCCCAGGGAGTTGTTATATGTGGTACTAGCCCAGCACTTGAGCACTGGCCATTGCTGCTTTTTAAACTTGGCCCTGAGCTGGATTTATTGAACAGCCTTGGGCAAACCTCTCCTCCTCCCCACCAAGCAGAATGTGCTCACCTGTCTAAGCTAGGAGCCAGTATGGATACCTATGGAAATGGATAGCAAAGAAACTGAAAAAAAAAAACCAAACCCAAACCAACAAAAACAAACAGCAAGGGATAGAATAGAAAATATAAGAGTCTGGGAGAACTGGGAGCAACTGGCTGTCCCTCCTCCCTCAGCAGCACTGGGGGAGGCAGGGTCTTTGGATGAAGGAGCAGGCTGTTGGAAATAGGAACCTGTGTCAGTAGTGCATGCAGCACCACGACCTGTGCAAGGGCGAACAGCCCCTTCAATCACTGTCTCTTCTTGCCCTTGATAGTTCATCCATGGGTGGCTGATCCTGTCCTCTTTGATGCTGCTCTTCCTCTTTACCTACATATATCTTGGGTAAGTAGGAATGGTGCAGGTAACCTGGCAGTTCAGGGCTTCTTCAACTCTTCGCAGAAAATCCCCAACTTGAACAAGGAAAGGAGTGTCTCCCTTTCTCCAAATGGAGGTTTAAAAATCATTACAATGAGATAGGTTTCTTTTTTTAAAAAATGGAAAATGAGGTCTTTGCTAGGCAATGCTCTATTTTTATGGTGCCTACTTTGCAAAAATCCCTGGGAAGTCATACCGTGAGCATGAAATGAACAGGCTGAACCTTGAATTATATGTTGAGAGGCAGGTGGAATGGAACTTTATGTGCTGAGTTGGTTCACTGATTTGCCTTGCCTTTTTTCTCAGACTATGTTCCCTTAGCTCCCAGCTCGGATGGAACCAAACTTCTAACCTGCTGGTGACGCTTTTAAAACTTTTATATTCATCTTTAGCAGTGAGCATCATGCATTTGGTGGAATGACTCTTACGTGACTGTCTGCAGCAAAGTAGTCACGTAACCACAGGCCTATGTTCAGTTAAGACTTGAAATCCTGCCTGCTCAAACCCTTGGAATCGCTGCTGACCTCAGAACTAAGGCAGTGTGGCACTTGTCTGCACACACAGCACGTCCATCTTACAGGGGAAATAGAGCTAAGAACAGCAATTGGCCCCAGGGCAGGTTCCCCTTTTCCTTCTATCCTGCTTCCTCCTGGCATAGTAGGAGGCTTGTTTGTTTAACTACAGCTACTAGGATGCTTTGCACATCAGTTGCTTTTATTACTCAGCTAAATTTTCTTGTTGTATTCCAGTGAAGTATTGAAGACGTACAACGTGGCCATGGATTACCCCACTCTGTTCTTAGTCATCTGGAATTTTGGAGCTGTCGGAATGATTTGCATACACTGGAAAGGTCCCTTGCAGCTCCAGCAAGCATATCTCATCATGATCAGTGCTCTGATGGCACTGGTTTTCATTAAATATCTACCTGAGTGGTCAGCATGGGTGATTCTAGGTGCAATCTCCATCTACGGTAAGTCTGGGTTGGGACTCTCAAGATGTGGCTCCGAGAGGTTACTCTGGAGCAATCTCAGGACCGTGTGTGTCATTCAAAAAACAACTTCACGGTGCTAACAGCTTTAGAAAGAGGTAGATCGGCAGTTAAGTTGACTCCCTGGCTTGTCTCTTGCTAACTTGTTCATGTAGGTACTGTATTCCTACCATGTCTTTCGAAGTGGAATACCAAGCCAGGGAAGTACTGAACCGCATCTAACTGCGTGGTAGGGATTTATATCAGTAGCAACCTGATAGTCTTGCAGGTTTTGTTTACGGTTATCAAGAGATCATGGATTTTGGTATGAGTTAAAGTTTCAAGAGAACCTGCAGAACAAGAGAGAGCTGGGATTGGTGAGGAGCTCTGATGGAAGAGAGAGGGTAAGCAAAGAGGAACTGGACATAAGGCCTTCATTCCTGTGAAACACAGAGTCTGTGTGCATAGCAGTGGATTGTGGAACGTGTTGCCCCCAGTCTAATTGAATTTAATACTTTGATGTAATGCTGTCATATATTTTCAAAGAAATAATGTGGTACTCTCAAGAGGCTTTTTATAGGATCAGCACAATGAAAACTCTTATTATTACATTAAGCCTTGGGGATGGTATTTTAAGTGAAAAACTAGAACACCTAGAGTTATGCAAAGTGGCAGAAACTGCCATTCAGAAAATCATCCAGTTAATATTGATAGATGTCATTTTGAGGGGAGAATAGCTTTTTAAAGGTAAAGAATGTAAAATGTGCATGATAAGTTTGAGATTAGATTGTCAGTCCGTTTTCTCCTTGCAGATCTGATGGCTGTTCTCTGTCCCAAGGGGCCACTGAGAATGCTGGTAGAAACTGCACAGGAGAGGAATGAGCCCATTTTTCCTGCATTAATATATTCCTGTGAGTAAGATTAGAATATTAATATTCTTAACTAGATTAGACTTGCAACCTATTTCTGTGTCAAACCAAAGGGCACTATTTTAGTTACTTCCTTGCCCTAAGATTGGTGAGCATTTCTGTTCTGGAACAGACCACTTGTGGAAGGCCTTCTACATCAGTTACAATGGTGCTAACTCTGATTAGCCAAAGGGAGTCCACGCTTGTCTTGTGAAGGTGAAATGTTCAAAAGTGGATTGATCCTTTTGTGAATGCAAAACAGTGCAGAACATGCCCCTCTGTTCTGCATGCAGAAACCTGTGTGAGATGGACAGGAGTGTTTGCAAAGTTCTGTGATGAGATGATGCTCACTCAATACACTTATTCCTTGTGCCCACACTTTACAGACACACTTGAAATGTGTGATGAGGTTCTGCTCTTCCTGTAGCCCCCTCCTGCTCTGTGCACTGTACAGATGGCAGTGCTTAGAATATATTTGCTTTATTGTTCATTGTGTGGCTGCTCACTTTGTAAGGGGCTCCATTCGAGTATTGCTCTGCAAACAGAATGTTGTCTCTTCCCTGGCTTTCTTGGGCTCTTTAACCATCATGGTGTCTGGTGCCCTTATCCACAGAAGTATCTACGTGCTTAAGATGATTAAAGTAGTTGGAAGGCAGGCAACTCATCACTCCTGGGACCTGGACTCAAGTGCTTCATGGACCTCTGTGACTTTTTTCATTACATCACTTGTGAGATGAATGGGTATTTCCAAATGTTAGGTGTGAAGCTGAGGATGCCTACAACCTGATTGAATCCCCCCCCCTCAGGCATTTAATGTTTTATAAATGCTTTTATATATTCCAAGCAGAGTTTCTGTTACGTTCAGCTGACCTCCCTTTTACTGGAGATTCTGTTATACTGACCTGAGACAATCTAGATTAAGTCTCTCAAGTGTTTTAGTTAACAAACAAGGGTTTCTCTAAAGGAGAATGCAATTCAACAAATAGTAAATACTGAAAAAAAAAATCTAGTCCAGAATGTCAGTGTCTCCATTGGAAGACCACGTTCTGAGGCTGCCTCTAGATGCAAAAATGTCGTCTTGGCTGAGCTGGTAGTGGAAAAGCAGGCACTATGTTTGCCTTGGCTTATTTTGTTTAGTTTAGCTTTTATAAAAACAGGAAGACTGATGCATGGTCAAATAAATAGCTGATTTGAGTTCCTTTCTCCTGATTTCAGAATGGTTTGTATTCCTTTTTAATTTAGGGATCCATCTCAAAATAAAGCCCCAAACATCATTCAGATGTTCTTGGAACCTGAACAGAAATAGCTGATATTTTGACAGGAAAGAACCTCCAAACAGGCAGAGAGAAAACCGGCACTCTGACAGCTCCTGCCCATCCCTTGCTTGTGTGCTTTACCTGTAGCAGAACATGAGGAGTAAGCTGTGTACGTTAACCTCTGGTTACCTTTTGTACTGCCATCATTTCCTGGGCAATTGTTTTCTTGAAGAGAAGAATCGGAAGCCAGGAAGGTAACAAAGGAGATGAGGACCCTAGTTCCAGATTTTTTATTTCTTTAGCCTACAGAGAAGACGAGACTGACTCTTAGCTATTTGTGCTCTGGGGCTTTCTTAAAAACCGAATGGTTGCCTTAATTTTCTCCCACCTTGGAAATCAACTACAAATGAGTGTTTTAGAAGTATTTACAGGGGCAAGGGTTTGTATGATTAGCAACAGCTAAATACTTAGCTCCTCTGAGCACAGTGACTGATGTTTTATGCAGCTTTTCTCTCTTTCTTCTAGCTGCTATGATGTGGACAGTTGGAATGGCAAAGCCAGACACAGCAGCAAGAGGACCAAGTCAGCAGATGTGGGATGCAGGTTTGCTTGCATGTCACTCTTCTATACACAGCACTGTCCCATTGAAAATAACGTATATGTTTGAGACTGCAAGTAAATGTAAGCCCCTGAATCATGACGGATGCATTTTTTTTTTTCCAGTGTTGTTAAATTAGTTGCAGAACTCGGTGATGTTCTGAAACCTGCTGTTAGGACTGGCAGCAAAGACGACCAGACGATGTAGGAAGCTCCAGTATTCAGGCTGCCTTTATTTAAAAAAAAAAAAAACCAACCAAGAAACCAAACAAAAGTGTTGTCCAGCACACATCTTCAGATGTACTGAAGTCAGAGCTGAAAGTGTGGAGGTTTATATTTTTACTAGCTGGGGATGGTAAATTACAACACAGACTCATAATGCCAATGAGCTCACGTGCATTGCAGTGCGTTGCATTCAGGCCACTGCCACAGAACAGATGTGCTTTTACCCAGCTGTAAGTGCAATATGGCTTTACCCTGCCAAAGAAAATGAACACCTTTACATTTACCCTTGGGTAAAGACTTGTGTTCGGGCAGTTACCCAACAGTAGCTGGTGTGTGCCAAGTTAACATTCTAGCTGGTCTGTTGTAATTTTTGTACTTGCTTTTATCTTCTTGCAATGTAAGTTAAACTGCAGTCTTGAAGGTGATTGAATAAAATCTGACTTGTGGTGTTGGGAGGATTTCCCATCTGGTCCTGCTGCACTTCAGAGATGACAGCACCTTTTTATGTTAAAGCAATAAATGTATGCTAAGGCTTGATAACTGAACATGCTGCTTATTTCGGGATAAAGCAGCTGACATACTAACAAGCCCCAGGGACACAACTCTACTTTGAAACTGGGCACAGAGCAGGAGCAAACTACATGCTGAGGCATACAGAATACTATTGTGGAAGCTCTGTGTGTCCCAGATCACAGTCTGCTCGCATCTGCAGCAGCAGCATCCCATCAGACTGATGTGGACTGAAAAGTTTGTGTAAGAGCTTCTGAAAAAAGGAACGGTCAGATAGAGTACTATGTCACAGTCTGGCTGCTTCTAAAAGCACTACCAATGGCTCTGTTAGGTATGTTTAACAGGACAAAAAAAATTAAATCTGTGAACAATGAAACGTGTCCACTTACTACGTGTGACCGCTCAGCCCCAATGTCAATGTGATTCAGGGCAGAACTTTTCTCATAAACAGCAGTCCTCTTAGTCATCCATTTTTGTCATACTACCAGTTAAGGAATACGTGAGCACCTGCACCCCAAAAATATAACAATGTGGGAGTGCATATTAAGTTTACTTAGTTTTACTTGTCATTCTAGCCTGTGCAGAGCAATGCGTAGTTCTGCCAATGAACTCACTTGCTAAAGCCATTGAACTCCTGGGTAGCTGCCAAAGAAGCTGTGAACATGTACCCTTCCGACTGTTTCAAATAATAACGTGTTTTCCGCAAAGCCACTAAATGTCTCTGCTTGAACTGGTCTTGTTGATCACACCTCCAAGAAACAAAGGGCTTACCCATTCCAGAGAAGCTTCACAGAAGTGTGGATTTCATGCATTAGAACAAGTTATAAGTGTACTTACCGCTTGTGGGTTTTTTTTTTTTTTGTTCACTCTTCTTGGCCTATTTTTGTGGAACCAAGCAGAGGAGGGGAGAGAGAACCACAGGAGCCCTTCACACGCAGACTCTCAGATGTCGGAGATGAGGAGTCCTCTTCCAACCCGCCCCATCACTTCTGTCGAGGAGCTAGAGGAGGAGGAAAGTAAGGGAAGCTTCATACCTTGTTTTCAGTGTAGTCAGAATCAGTGCCTGACATTTTTACTCATTGTGGTTGATGCTGTGTTACCCAGTTTGGCCTAATCGCAGTTAATTTGAAGAGCTGTGACTTGTTCACTAACAAAGATCTTGAGTCTGACTCTGTATTACTTCTTGCTGCTGTAGTATCTGTTCTGGGATTGTGGTTCCAGTGACATCTCTTGGCTACATGGACAATTTAAGACAGAACCTTTACCTGCTCCCCAGGGGACATGAATTTGTTCAGGAGGAAGCAAAATGGGAAGAGCAGAAGTAACACTTACTTTCTTTTTCCACTTCTCCCAGGGGGTGTGAAGCTGGGCCTTGGAGACTTCATATTTTACAGTGTGCTTGTCGGAAAAGCAGCTGCCACAGCCAGTGGAGACTGGAATACTACGCTGGCCTGCTTTGTAGCCATTCTCATAGTAAGTGAGCAAGTTTTAAACAGGCTGTAACAGAGTTTTTTAGCACAGCAGCGTTGCCAGAAGCACCAGCAGCTGAGCACTGGTAAATCTCTGCAGGTAACATGCTGGGTGTTTAGGAGAAACCAGCAGTGGATTTCCCAGCCCAGTGCTGTCTATAAAGATGGGATTTAAACAGCCACTGGGAGAAGCTGAATGATGTACGCTGAGAGGAAGGATTGCTCAGAGCAGAGCCAAGTGTGGAGATGGTGGGGGTGAAACAGCCCCAGGGAAAATGGTTACAGATGAACTGTTAGTGTTTTTGCTTCGGTGTTAAAGACTGGGGACTTGTGTCAGCTACAAGAGTCAGTGTTGTGAACTCCACATTGATTAGGAAGTGTAACTGAAAAGGTTAACTCCCTTTTGCTAAAAAGAACAGCTAAATCAGAGGATGGAGACCTATCTTGTTGTTGTGTTCACACTGGAAAAAACAGCGAAGGAGACTTAAAAATCCACGAACATGATCAGTAAAAACAGATGACAATCATACTGTAACTGCTGAAGGACTTGGTCCTGACAGATCCAATGACCGCACACTGTTGAGCTTTTGCCTAGGTAGAAAATAATTACTAGGAACTTGCTGTTTACACCAGCATCCTCACAGAAACTAACCGGAAGGGCAACAGGAGGAGTTTTAGAAGGTGGTAGAAAATGAATTATGGTGTCCTTCTTGGGCCTCCATTTCCCTACTTAGATCCCAAGGATAGTGAAAGACAGTGACTTTCACTTGTGAAGATCATGGGTCAAAAAGCATGAGAACTAGAAATGAGCTCACTTAAATAAAGTGTGTTGAGTATAGCTTTCTGACCTCACAGGTCAAAGAAATCTATAGGATCACCTGGCTCCATATCCTGGAGTCCAGCCCAGGGCCCCTTCACTGCGGGAAATGCTCTCTTTTGTTTGTCCATGAGGACAAATGCCCTATTCTGTTTCTTTTATGGTGCTGTGAAAATTTTTGGAGTCTAATGTCTCTGAAGTTTTGTCATCATGGAGGAAGAAAAAAGGGCTCAGATGAGAGGAGTCCATACGTAAATGCACTTAGCCATCCTGTCCACCCAACATGTACAAAAGCTTTCACACATGCTCAAAAAAACAGATCTTGGTCTGCTATCCAGATAAAAACAAATTCACCTATCGTAGTAAGCAATATAGCCAAAAGAACAGCAGCAGATGTTTTGGTTTGGGGTTTTTTTGGTTCTTTTTTTACCCCAGGAGACCTTGAAAACTGGGAAGGTGTTAACAAGTACATGCTGCTGTGTATTAGTCCTCCGGTGACACTCCTTACCGGTGCAGTTCACCAGGATTTAAGTGCTTTTATCTGCTGGATCAGTACACTTCATGCATAACGGCATAGAACAAAATGTAAAATAATCTGTAAATAAATTAACCTCTCGGGGTCAGCTGTATGTCAGCAGTAGGTGTTGATACCACTTTCTCAGCAAAGAGCTGTGCTCAAGATTGCTGAAGAAAATACCTGGCCAACTTGTGTGAGAGATGAAGGTGTGGGCAAATGTACCTCGTGGCACTGGGAGCTCAGGCAGGCTTCAGTTGCTGTACAGTGTATATAGCTTATTATATTAGTTTGTTGATGACACATGTTTCTGGGCTTCTTACTAAATCTCCTTGTGTTTTTTATTTTCTTCTCTCTGGCAGGGTTTATGCTTAACTCTTTTGTTACTGGCTGTTTTTAAGAAAGCACTGCCTGCTCTTCCCATCTCCATCACCTTTGGCTTGGTCTTTTACTTCTCGACAGACAACATCGTGCGACCATTCATGGACACCCTGGCCTCCCACCAGCTGTATATTTAGAAGAAGTGGGAGTCAGAGGATTCCTTTTAAAGCTTTGCTGTGAAGTATGGTACACTGTTTGGAATAAGTCATAATGTTTTACACTTAGTGCCATATATTTGTAAGGAAAACACTAGCTCTGTGACGTGATGTGTACTAAAAATTGAATAGTTACGTGTTGAACTGAGATTTTTCACAGGACTGTTGGACTCCAGTGAAAAGCCTGGCTCGCTGCTGATGTCAGAGCATTACTTTTATGTTATTTGATGTGCACAGAAGGGAGCACAGAAACCTGTATGTAGCATGGGATGCTGGAGAGGTGAAGGGTCTGACCTGTGCTTCCAGAAGCTGAGGTGTTCTAGCCCTGGCATTGCAGTCCAGTTTAACTGTGCTCTAGAATTGCTAATGCTGCCCACTCGTGAAGTGTTGTGTCAACACGTGGTGCGAGTAAGTTGTAGTTGTAATCAGGAAAGCGTAGCAGTCAGCATGCGCAGAACAGAGCGGTGCGTTACGCCTGGTCGTGAGTGTTGGAGAAGTGAGGCTGAGCTTCATGAGCTGGCCTCTGTGCACACAGCTTCTGCTGGAATTGCCCCAAATGCCTATTTATTCTGACCTCAGTGAGACACAGTGGGCTGTGATGGTGCTGTGGTGGGATGTTTAAACATCAGGCTTCTGGTTCTGAGCACATCCACTACTGCAGCTAACAGCTGAAGGCAGGGCTGCCCGTTCCAGCACATCAGATCCTCAGCATGGGAAGACAAGATACTTTTTCCTGTCTCCTCCCAGCGTTTTATCTTTTTGGAGATCTTTTTCTGGGTCCATACTTTAATCCTCAAATTACTATAAGGTGGAATTTACTGCACAACTCTAGTAAATCAGTTGACCTGTAACTCATGTGTATTTCTGGTCTCATTTCTATGCATTGTCACCACCCCAAAGGAGGATTTACTTTCCTTTTATGACGAGGTCCTCTGACACTGATTGAGACTTGGTTTACCTAGTTTTTGGTACTGTTTAAAGATTATGGTTTTTATTACAAATTTTAAAATAGCTACATAATGTCAAAGGGACTCTTTTGGAAATACCTGTCATAGTTTGTATCAAAATATGGGGGTGCAGAGCTTAATCTCCTGTTACATTGCTCTACATAAGGCAACATTAACGCTAGGAGTATTTACATACCCTCAAGTGAGTTCATTAAAAAAAAAAATCACAGTGCTTGTTGCCAGTAAAAAATCCAAGTCTGTGTGAACCTTACTGTTTTCTCCACCTTTTAAAATATTTTCTTTTCCTCCAAGAGGCAATTTTTTAGAAATAGCCAAGTTCTGTGATTTTTTTTTTTCTTTTCTTTTTACTTGAGTGTCTGTTACACAATCTCTGTTTTCAACAGCTAATCAATGTCAGTGTTTCAAAATGTAACATTTTGCAAGGTTTGGTGAATAATGGAATGTCATTAAGATATGCAGAATTTAATCTCTGAAAATACTTTTTAGATAAGGCTTTGAACTGCCCATTTTTAAGGTAGTGCTTTTTCTAATAGACTTAGAGCTAATCCACTTTGATGTCATACAGGTGACTCAAACAAATTTTTAAAAAGCACGTAAGGGTTTTTATGAGTTGTGTGTGTCTCAGTTTGGACAAGTAAGTAATTCTTGCTCTTTGTTTAGTTTTCTGTGCTTATTTCTTACATTTGCAATGTTTGGACTTAACAGCTGCAGACAGTTAATTATTACTAAAAGGTATTTCCTTTGGAAACAAATCACTAGAGGTCTGCCAATTTTTAAGGTTTATGTGCAAGTTTTTTTTTTTTTCTTTGGGGTTGTTGTTTTGTTCGGGGCTTTTTTTTTTTTAAACTAAAACATTTATGGGGCTATTTGGAGTACAGTCACTTGCAAACGTGATTTTACTTTTTGCATTGCATGGTGTAGAGTGTATGTGAAATATTTATATCTCCTAGAAGAAAAATCTTGCTTGGCTTAACAGGGTTGTAGCATATTGTTAGAAACAATTTATTTCTATGAAAGCAGAGTTGATATTTGAAGGAAACTGGGGGAGTACCTTCAGATGTTGAAGGATCACTACTGGAGCTGGAGGTTTTCTGCAGATTTGTGCTTGCCAAAGATTAGCCTTCCACTGAGCAATTCTGCATAACTTACTGTAATTTAAAAGGTAACTGAGCAACAGATTCTGTCAGAGCAACAAAATGTATTGTCCTGGTGAGTGATAGGAGTATATAATGTATATCCTGGAGTGGTTTTAACTGTGTAAAAATTCATATGTATTTACTACAAATATACATATTTGCTGTGTGTGTTTATGTGTGTATATACACACACATACAAGTTTTAAAACAATATTGTGTGATTTCTCATCTCATTGGACATTTTCACCTGTGCTTAAGGTGAAGTTTTGTTTGTGATGTGAACATCGGGCAGCATGCCCTAAGATGTGAAAATGGAGAGGGCAGGATTTACTCTACTCCCTAGAGTTGGCTACTGCAGGATCTACTCTACTCCTTAGCTGGCTACTGCATGAGATACTGGCTCAGTGTCGTGGCAACTTGAATGAGGAAAGCGTTTGTCTGTCTACTATGTTCATTCACTGTTTTCAACTTGCTGCATGCTCTGCTGAACTGCAGTCTTCTTCACCCTGAAGAAATGCTAATATTCCCACTGATGCGCATCCCCAAAAAAGAACAGCCATCAGGTAGGCTGGGGTAACCCCCATCTTGATGCAGGTGTCACTCAACAGCCTGAAGTCCTATAGGAGATGCCATGTGTTGGCATTTTCCTCCGTGATCCCTGTCACACCTATTCCTCCTCTCCAGTCTAAAATGAGTGTCTCACTGCATCTAGTCTCAGATGTGGCTTGAGCACACACCACTCTAACATGTAAGACTGAAGCAAAGTCCACGAACAAAAATGTAGCGGTAAGCCTGCCTAATGCAAACCCAGGCTTTTCATTGCTGGGAGATACGTGGCCCCCGTGCAGCATTTAGGGCCTTTGTTAGAAGCACGTGCAACTCAAACAGTCTGGCACTGTTACCTTCTGACCACGCAGCTGCTGCTTGTGCTTCTTGCTGTGTTTCCTCTTGCCATTTCATTGCTGCTTTTGGTTTTGATTGCTTCAGGGTGGTTTTGTTTAAAGTGTCTACTGTACATCAGAGACTGGAGGTGGATTCTGCCCACAGCGAGGGAACAAAAAGCAGCACAGTCACAAATAAAAACAGGAGACCCCTTGCAGAACCATGCAGTGCTTCCAAGGTCTCATTGATAACACCTAATTTCAGGCTGTTAAGGGAAGTCCTTCAGAAAGGAGTCAGTCTGTGCTAGCAATGTTGTGTCCTTCTGGTTCACGGATAGAAAAGGATGCCTTTGCAATATGAGGCTCAGAAAGGAGTCAGTCTGCGCTAGCAATGTTGTGTCCTTCTGGTTCACAGATAGAAAAGGATGCCTTTGCAATATGAGGTGTCTCAGCAAGAGCTTTAGAAACAGTGCTGAAGCTGGGCCAATGTGGGTTAGTAGATACAGCAAAGTCACAGCACACGTCTACTACAGTCAGGAAAAGGAACGGTGATCTGCTCTCTCATACCTCCTTTGTGACAGTTTCTAGTGAAGTTTCTTCTGTGGGGCAGTCAGATGAAGTTAGATGGACCATCTCTGAGTAAGTGTCACTCACTGACAGGACTCATGAAGAATAGCTCAATGCCCAATGTCCTTGCAAAACAAAGCATTTGGAGTTCTCCCTGCTACTCCCAGACCAGTAAATTTCTCTGCTTTGTTCTTGCCCTTCTACTTACTACCAGTTAATCACACAGGGTGTTTGCCTTCCTCGTAACTCAAATGGCATTTTGGTTTAAATTGAATATAAAGTTATTTTTCTTTATTGTTTCCCTCAGTCCCAGGTGTCCCTGTTTGTGCATTAGAGAAGCTCCTTGGCAGCCACGGGAGGGCAGTAGGTCTGTACGGAGAAGTACCAGCCATTTTAAAGTACTCTGCTCTGGGCCCCTTGTTTTGCAGTGAGGCTGAAGGCCCTGGAGTCTCCCTTATGGCAAGGAGAAAGCAGGCACCCCACACCCCAGCACAGCTGCGGTTTTGGCACAGCAAGAGAGAGGCTGAGAGTGCGAGTGAACTCACACTGTACCAGAATCCATTTATAACCAGCTGGTTTCAATGCGATGCCACGCTCAGCACTGCAGCTCTGGGTGAGGTGCTGCTCTTACGTTGCACGCTCCATTTTGTCTGGGTCACCCCCTATCTTTTTAAAAAGCATTCAGCCTCACAAACCCCAAGCATAAGTCAGGGGCTCCTCCAGACATCACTAAATTAGATTTTGTTCTGAGCATCTTCAAAAAGCAAAGGAATAATAATACTTACTGCTTTGTCATTTCTCCTCTCACTTGCAGTCTCCTGTTCTGTCCTTGCAGGTCTTGCTAATCTGGGGGAAAAAAAAAGAGCATGCTACTGTCATTCCAGCTCTTGGCCCTGTGGAATCTAGGGTCTAGCTAGCTCATGTTGTCTGTGTCCTCAAGAGGACCAGGGCTATCTAGTGTTCTTGAACTCCGTTGTTTTATAAGAAAGCAGCCTAGACAAATATGGGATCTTTGGCAGAACTTCTCCCACCACACTATTCATATGCCCTCTAGCACACTGACATCCCTCATTGAATTTATCCTTGCTTCCCCTGCCTCCAGCAAGGTAAAGTGTTGTGAGCTGTTCCCATTCTACAGATGAGAAACAGAGGCAGAGTAAGAAAGTAAATGCTGGGTTTAAGCTTGGTTACATAAGATCTGCCCACAGCAGATCAGGGCATCAAACGTGATCACACAAGTTGCTATAATTTCTTTTACATCCTCCCTTTGCTGCAGGTTTGCTATCACCCATCTTTTCACACTCTAAATTCAAGAGACTTGCCTTGAGCACTCAAGGAGTTAAGTGAAGATGAACTGTTATCTCCTCCTTCTCTGACACATTTGTTTGACAGGTGCCCGAGAACACAATTTGGGAGGTGTCAGTGCTCAGCACTATTTATGGCTCAGTATTAAAAAGATATAAATAAATAGAGGCTTTGAAGTGGAACTAGCTAAACTCCTTGATATAGAAACCTG